AATAATACTTCATTTAGTGAGTGGTATCTCTGTTTTGTAAATGAGAAAGCTACAAGTCAGTGCCACTGAGAAACTTGTCCCAAGGTGACTGATGAGTAAGCGACATGAACATTTGAGGTCAGCATGTGCTTCTGCCTTAAGTTCACATGTGTAATTCTAATTCACTCAGGCCTTTGCTCAGATGTCACCACGGGAGCCAGCTCTGCCCTAGCCATCATTGGTATGTGATGTTCAGCCATTCCTTTCAAAACCAATGCAAGTATGAGCTAAACAGTTGTGTTAAAATTCTGCTTCCAGAGAACTTTGTATAAACGAGCAAAATGAGAGTATATGCAAAGAAATTTCTCCAGCTGCGGCACAGCACGGTAACAGTTGACACTGTGTGGGGGCTGTCTGATGCTGTTCTGTTCTTTATGCACATTCAGCTGTTCAGAGATTGTCGGTGGCACTCTAAAGAACTTCAGTACCTTGGGGAGGCTGCAGCTAGGCGACGGCCATGGCGGCTGGCCTCATCCAAACGTCCACACCGTGTGCTTCAGAAAGAGAAATCATTGTATGTTTCCTAGCCACCATGCTTTTATCCCACTATTTATGTCATTACTTAAAAATAGTACCTGAAATATGCATATGGCTTTGTAATCTACAGAAGATTATTGACATGAAATGATAAGCTTGCTGAGGATAGGGCAAGTGGCTGTTTTGCTCACTTTTGTACACCACCACCTGGCAGAGTCTAGCACATAGTAGGTATACAACAAATATTTGAAGAACAAGGAATAAACATATATAACATTTTCATAACAGCCTTGTTAGCAAAACATGTTGTAATCCCTGCATTATGCGAACTGGTTTCTGTCTAAGGCTGTGTCATCAGTGTGTAGGTGAGCTAGAACTTAGACACTGAGTTTTCTGACTTCACACTGAGTGTTCTTTCTCTCACCTCAATGAAGTTAAAAGTCATTGTCAACCATTAATGTTAATACTCCCAATGAGAATATTATGTAGTGGGAAGAGATAGATCACATCGCACCAAATCAACTACAAAAGGTCCCTTGTTACAATCGTGGACCTTTTGAAAATAATATTGTTGACAGAAAATCAAATCCTGGTCCTGGTACCACAACCATGGTCCCCATTTTCCACTTTGTGAAAAAGATGAAGGCTGTCATCTTCAAGACCTCCACTTTGATAAATAAAATGTACATACAGTTCTTCTCTAACAGCTCCAAGATCTTCCTTGGGCACTATCTTTACTGGCATTCTTTCTCCCTCTTGCTTTCCAAAACCAATCTCTGACATTCAAGAAAGAGACTGCCAAGTCCCACTGCCAGAAAAACCACAGGGAAGGCCCAACTTTACATTCCCCCAAACCCAGGTCTCTTCTCTCTCAACTCTTTGAGTGTTCAAATTTCCACTCTTTGGCATGACTGCCATGTGCTTTCCTTTTCCCAGTCAGAAAAAGAACAAATTGACTGTTCTAGCCACCAAAAAGCAGACAGCCACCTGCTGCCAGCTATGTTTTGCTGGGGTCATTTGATGTGAGAGCCACATGAAGCAAGTGAGGTGACCTCTGGCACCTGCTACTGTTAGTCGCCTCTTCAGGCACAGATATTTGGAACAACATTTTAAAGATCAATAGGCAGTTAAACCTGAGAAGCTACTCTGTGTTTGGTTTTTAAGAAACACAGCTAAAAGTCTGTGTGGACCCCTGAGAGTGCAGGATGGAAGCTAGGGAAGCCAGGCTAGCAAGTGGTATGGGTACTGGCTTTGTTTCTTCTCAGGCTGATAACTGGCTATAGGAGGGGAGTGAAGAGAGGAAGGATTTGAGATTCTTCAGTCAGAGGACCACAAAGAGCTTCTTTGTTTCATGTCTGTGCACCCAAGACCTCAGTGTTTAGGCTCAGTGCCCTTTCTCCACCCCACCCCAAACACTACTCTAACTTTTCAGCAATGTCACAACATGGAGGTAGCAAGTAAATGTTGCACAAATTAGCTTAAGCTGAGTACAGCGATTTTTTACTCATAGAACCCTTTCATATGTAGCCACCTTGCACATATCTGCTACCTACAACTTACATGAACACCAGTAAATTAGGGTAACCTTCCTAACTAAGCAGTTAGGTCTTACACATATTGGGGACATACACATATTCTACTCGGTGGACCTGATGTCTGATTACCTCTCATGGGTGCCTAGCATTGGCCACCATGGAATAGAATCTCAATGAATTTGTGTTAAATGAGTGAACAAGAACTTTGAGCCAATCCTGTAGACCTGAGAACACTTTCAACCCAATAGGCAATAAGAAATACTTATCTTTGTATTTAACAAGAGTAATTTTGGGGGGAGAGGCAATCAATGATTTATTTTTATATTTGTAAAGTCTGTATTAAGTTACGGCACCAGCATATGCACTGCTGTGAGAGGTTGTAATAATATTTCGCTGAGCTCTGTCTCATGCTAGCATGCATTTTTCAGATGCGTTCAATTTAATGCTCTGTCTCTGAACCCTGACTGACCTGGCATGTGGTTTGACTAGGAACTCTATTTCTGTTCATCCCTAGGAGCACAGATTTTTCCCTTCTCTTTTTCCAGCATTACCACTTACCCCTTGTTGTTGGGCGGAGGGTAAGGAGGGGGCAGTGAGGACAATTATTTCACTTTTTTCTATTTCTAAAAATAAAGTCTCCAAGAAATACAAAATTTTCTTGTCCCAGGTCAAGGCTCTGTGCGCCTCCTAATACACCACCTTTGTGAAAAACCTATGGCTGACCTAAAACAAGAAGCTTCGTTTTTTGTGGGGTTTTTTTTTTCCAGATTTTTCAATCAACAACAATGTGGTTCTAATGGCTGAAAGTATCCTGTTCGTTTATTCTTCCTATTCACAGTTTTGTCTGTAGAATTATATAGAGTAATTTAGATTGATCTCTTCACAGGGTGTTTTATTAGTAATGCTTAGTATGATGGGTTCTTGCCAGGAAATGTTTTTCCTATCAGGGTTGGAGTGGGAGTTTATTTGATAGCATATTGTCACTGATCATCTGACACTGTCTTGCTTCATGCTAAGTGTGATTTTCTGCTTTTTAGTCAGCACCCTGGCCCCACTCTTCTCTTTTACACTGAAAAGTTTTAGAAGCTAAAAACTGCCCTCGCGTTTCTAGTCATCATCGCCAGAGCGTTGTTAGAACCAAACTCCTGACATTTGTTCATGTGGTAGCATCGCCAAGACCCTGGTTTTCTCGGAGGGCAGAGACTGTTGGATTTCTTATTCCTAAGTTCTCTGCATCATCACTGGTCTCTGTGCTCACCACTAACCATGTCTATTTCATACTCGTATGTAGGTGTATATGAGACAGTCTTCCGCAGGACCGCACTTTAAAGGGTCAGTCATTCTGGACTCTTGATCCAGAGCCCTGTTCCCTGCCTACCTCCACTCACCTTGGAAGAACTGCCCAGAAAGTGGGCAATGAGATGTGGCATGTGACCCTGGTGATCAAATTCGTGAGGGACAGATGTCACCGCCAGGTTGGCCTCAGGCCTTGACAGGCCAAGGAATGTCTCTGTTGGTGTCACATTCCTCCTACAGAAAGAGGGCTTTTCTGGTCTTTAGCACACGTTAGTTTATTTCACTTTCACTTATTTATTAATGAGTGGCTCCTTATATTCTTCTCTCCCACCACCTATGTAAGACTTGTTACCTTGCAATTATCTTTCTTCTCAGGAAAAATCAACCTATTTCTGGATTATATTTAATTACTTTTCAGTGAGTTTTCTATTATTGCATCAGTAAAATGGAATTAATAACACCTGAACCTTCATATCCCGAAGATATATATATATGAAATTGGCTCCTCAAAAGAAAACAGTGTACCTATGTATGTATACCCCATGGTGTACGACAAAAATCAAAAGCTAGTTATGTATTTATTACTGTAAATACCAAATCAAAAACTTGACTATAGCCAATGGCCTTTATCTCAACTTTCCTAAATAATCAGTAGCTTGGATGACATTATGGTAAAATATTCTCCTTTAACATCTTTATGGTTAGCACCTGGGATTTTACAAGGCAATAGATTTGCTCTCTTCTATAGAGAAGGAATTCTCAGTATACGCAGTTAATTCTAAAAAGCATCTGAAATATTCCACTCCATGTGAAAGTAATTGTTTCGTGGTTAGAATAAAGCAGCATTTTATTTTTATTTATTTTTCTTGCAAAATAATGATAATGAAATCTCTTAATGTGCTCTATGATGTCAGGACCAGTCACATGAAATTGTTTCCTTTAATCGTCACTATAACCCTTGCAACATCAGTACCATGTTAGACTGACTTCTTGCTAAAAGTCTCAGCTTGTAGGTGGTGAAACTAGGATTTGATCCAAGATAATCTTACTTTAGACTCCGATACCATTAAATCTGATATGTGCCTGCTTTTGAGTGAAATAGTGTCCCTTAATTCTGTACACCCCCAAAAACCTTGTATTTTAAGGTTTAACTTGCTTTACAGATTCAGATGGGGTGTGGTTTTGTCAGAAGTTTCTCCCAGAAGTAAATTTTTAGATCAAAATAGTCATTATGCATAATGATTTAACTTTTACCTTTGGAAGTAAATGTTGTCATAGATATTTAGCATGTTTTATAACTTTGGTAAGAATATCCTCCCGTCCTCTGTTGTTTTGTTTGTTCATCTGAGTGTATGTGTATGTGTGTATACACATATATATATGGAGAATATTACAAAAATCTTTTTTTAATTGCAATTTTAAAGCAGATTGACCAGCAGTGACAGAAGGCAGAAACAGTGAAAGAAAACTCCTAACTAATTCAACTTTTTTTTTAACCTGTACAAAAATAGTCCTTTCACCATTTGGTTCTCAAAAAGAAATAAACAGTGGTGGTGTTACTTTCTGTTTAGTATGTAGTACAGAAGTGCCAGCAGGGAGATGGGTTGCTCGTGTTCCCATTAAATGCCTCTTCCCTCCCCCATCCTGTTTCAGGTGTCAGAAACTACTTAAAAGAAGCATTGGTGAATATAATTGCCGTGCATGCAGAGGTAAGGTATCATTAGATGTTCCTAAGAGATATGGGTAACTGGAAAAAAAAAGGCAAATTTGATGGTTTTTATGAAGGTCTTTTTTTCCCTTCAGAATATATCTTGGGTATAAATAAAACACAGCTGTGCTTTAATGCACGTGAATGCATGTATGTGTGTTTAACTATGAAAGTCTTTTTCTGACCTTGTATGTTTTCTCATAATTAAAATTAAATTAATTAATATTCAAAAGATAAGGAGAAGAAAGATTGAAAAAATGTTTTTCCCTTATCTTGGATTGAAAGAAATGTTAAATCCATTATCTTGGAAAATTCATTAACCTCTTTTTAACTAGTATGCAAATAAGCATTGATGTCTTTCCATGAAGCAATATGGTCTTACATAGTTTGGCTGAGACTCCAGAAAAATAGACACCTTTAGAAAGATATGTTCCAAGGGCAGCAGCAGTTAGGAACTGGGGCATGGTTCCCCATTGGGGGCTGACTTACGGACATGCAGATGTTGATGCTCTGGTGCATGTGGAAACTTGCTTTCACATGAGCAGTATCATCTTATTATCATATAAACATCCTTAGTAAACCTCCTGCTTAAGAAGACTCTTCCAAGGACCATCAAAAGAAGAAAATACAGCTGCCACCATCATATGCCACTCTGACAGCCTGCTCTGTAATTCCACAGTCCGGTGCCCATTGCCAGGTAGACTGTGAGAGAGGCTGGGGCTTGTGGACTAGCAGGTGGCCCTGTGAAGTGGGCCAAGCAAGGAGGCTGGTGTGGGAAACTCCCATGGTGGCCGCAGTGCCTGCCCGGTTGCATGCCTTGGGTGCAGGCCTTTAGATGTATACCACCCTCTACATTCCATAGTACCTAAGATGGTCAAGGTAAACTGGAAAAACCTGGATAATGAAGGCTAACACCAAAGAATAACCAAAGAAAATGATAGCTACTTCATTCTTGAATTTGGCTTTAAGTTTGAATCAACTAGAGCAGAAGAGAAATAGAGTATGTAACAGTTTTCATTTCTTAATAAAGGAAAACATACAAATTCCTCTATAAAAACAAGGCTTTTACATCCAGGAATTTATCACGTGCCTCTTTTTGTAATGAGTAATGTATTTTCAACCATGATTTTATCAGATATAAAAATGCTTTCTTGTTATGTTAGCTTCCAGTACAATTAGAGAAAGTTAAATCAGTCAGTGGAAGCATTTCTGTGGTAGGTAGACAGGTGGTAGTCAGAGGAGCTGTAAGCATTTTTAGTTGATGGTCATTCCTAAGAAGCTTCTTTGATTAATGTTCACCATCAGTAACCATGAGATCATTTGTAAGTAATAGGCTTTTCAAGCTCCCCTTCAATTTATCCCAGTGACTGAAAGTAGAATTCCATTCATAATATTTATTATTTATTTTTTCCTTGCTCTTAACTTGCCAAAAATTTTGATACTCCAGTTAGTTTGGGTTCACCCAAAGGTTTCACACTGGTGACACAATCTGAAAAGGAAAAGCTAAAAAACAGTTTAGTTTAATTTGTAAATCAGGACAGCAAAATGTTTCACCAAATTTCCAAATATAATAAATAACTCTTAGATTGGAAATGTCAAAATTCAAAGTTCGAAAATAATGTTTTATGTCAAAGGAAATACATATTTAATTCAGCAAACAGTAAATCTGGGGCCTTTGCTGTCCAATGCAGAATAATGTATAAGTATGCAATGGTGTTTGTTTTGATGTGTGGAGCATCTTACCCAGTTATTTTTTTAAATTGTGGTAAAATACCGACCCACTGTATTTTTATTTCTATAATTTCCTCTTTAGAAATCATATTTCTTCCTGTTAAAAGGGCAAGAGAAAAAAGGAATCCTTAAAACTGCTTTTAGTTTGTCAACATGAACAATACCTTCCAAAATTATATTTGCCAATATATTTTTAGGAGGATTGCTTTTTGTCATGAATAATACAAGTTAAGTATGAGTCTGTATCTTCCTTCCATTCAAACTCTGATCCTTTAAAAAAATGACCCAGAAGACCTGTGAGTTATTTCGTTGTGCATTTCTCTGTTTTTAACAAATTCAAGTCAGGAAAAATCGCCATAATACATAATTTCTTCTCATTTTAAACCTTCCATCAGGTGTTCACTGTTTCCAAAGAACTGGTGCCTCGGGTCCTGTCCAAGGTGGTGGAAGCAGTTTCTGAAGAGCTCAGCCGACTGATGCAGTGTGTTTCGTCCTTCAGCAAACATGGAGCTTTACAGGTACCCAAATCATTCATTTCCTTGTTGAACTTTTCTTTTCATGTAAAACATATAAATGTACTTTTAGTAATCGATCTTATGATATAAAGACAGGTTGTTTTTTGTTGTTTGTTTGCTTGCTGCTGGACCTACATCATCTCCCTTGCATAAGCCATACTCGTGATGCATTGTTTACAAGTTCCAGAATTTCTGTTTCTCAAGTAGGGCAAGACCTTGTGAAATGACTCTTGTGAGATTATCTAAATGGAGATTCCTTCTAAAGTTACGTGATTCTTTTTTCATACATTTTACAGTTTTCTTCACTACATTCAATGTCACAGGAAACTTTTAGCAATTTACTTTTAATCTCTTTCTAAAGCATTCCATGCAGTTTGCATAGAAATGTCAACTGTCTCTTTGCACTCACAATCCATTGGTTTAATCCTTTAATATCCAATATTGCAGTTTCTTAAATTATATAATTACAATAACAAATATAACTTCTATAAACCAGATGATTTTGATAATCAGATAACCAAACTGGCAGCAGTGAGGTGTGCGGGCATATAGGAGAGTGGCCTGCTCCCTGTCAGCCTGCAGTGATCTAGAGTGCTGTGAGTGTTTGTTGAAAAACTACTGTCAGTTTTGCTTCCAATAATGGTTGAGGAAGTTTCTGTTAGGCCAATCCTCTACAAATAATGGTAATCTTGAGTAATATATGTAAATATAAAAAAATGTAAAAACAAAAACCTGAAGAGACACTAGAGAGGACCATTAGTGGATGATTCTGGACAAAGTGACACTTGGGAGAATTCCTGAATTTTTATGGATTTTAGCCAAAGGCAGGCTCAGGGGTGCCTAAAACTGTACAAAACCTGCTGTCTTTCTGGCTTTAAGCATAGGCTTCAAGGCAACTAAAATTATAGGAAAGTGAGGGAAGTATCACAGATAACAGAGAATAGGAGCCACAAATTATGTGTACATACTGCCTAAATCTCTAGTTAGCCCCTGAAGCACATAGCATGGTCCAGCGTCACTCCAACCAGCCCAGTTAAGGCTAGAAGAACTGAAGTAAGACTTAAAATGCTGTCCCAGAGCCAAGAGTTTTCATTTGAATCCAAATAAGTTAATTGCTTGTTAAAACAATCAACAAAAATCAACCCTCTGCAGGGGCTTATTATGAAATCGAGAGTCTCCACAGCATAACATTCACAATGTACAGTAGGTAATCCAAATTTAATTGAAATGCAGAAAGAAAACAGAACAGAGAAACATGACCCATTCTCAACAAAAAGAGAATCCAATAGAAATTATCCATATGAAGTACAGAGAAAGGAATCATTAGGAAAAAAATAAAGAGAATTCCAGGGATCCCTGGGACAGTGTCTGAAGGTCTAGCATACGTGTAATTTGACTTCCAAAAGAGTCAGAACGGCTAATCAGCACGTGAAAGGATTGTCAACATCATTAGTTATCAGGGAAATGAAAGTAACACCACAGGAATATGCCATTACAGATCCACCAGGATGAAGAAAACTAAAGACTGCAGGTACCAAATCTTGGCAAGACTATGGAGAAACTAGGGTTCTCATGAGTTGTTGGGAGTGTAAAATACTACAACTACTTTGGGAAAGCTCTTGCTTGTTTCTTTTAAAACTAAACATACACGTGACCCAGACATTCCAATTTCAAGTTTAACCAAGAGAACTGAAAACATAATAGCCAAAAACTGGAAATAGCCCAGGTGTGCATCAATAGAGTAAACAAACAAACTGCAGTAGGTTCATGTAAGCAAATAACTACTCAGCCCTGGAGAGGATGAATTGCTGCTCCACCTAATGATCTCAGGAGCAAGCCCTCCACGGAAGCACACATATACTTCATGGGTCATTTACGTGAAGTTCTACAGCGGATAAAACTAATGTATAGTAGAAAAAACCTCAGGACAGTGCTTTCCTCTGGGTGGTTGTGATTACCTGGGGAGGGACCTGAGGGAGTATGAGGAGATGGTGGTCCTGCACCCGGTGTGATTTTCCACTGCACCGTTGTAGGCATCAGTCCAAACTCACCAAATCGTACATTTTAAGACTTATTCATTGTGTAGTATGTAAATTTTAGCTCAAAAAAATAAAAAAGGAATCCAAATAGACCTCTCTGGATGATAGATACATAGTAAAGTACAGGTTCCCCCCCATCTGAGAGTAGAGTGTTCCTATGAAAGCCTTTAGTATCCTGCAAAGCAAAACAGTTATCATTAATGTATATGGGGAAAAAATTAAGCATTCTCAGATCCAAAAAATAACCTCTTAGGCTTTTCTGATACCTTAAGACATGCCTTGCTAATGGATGCACAAAATAAATTGAGATAAAAAGCACAGATGCTCATAAACACAATTCAAAGCTATGGCAGCTTGATACTGAGGTGCTGAGCATGGTTCGCAGGGAAAGAGCTTGGCGGAACTATTCTCACTGCTTGGGGTACAGGCTCACTGCAAAACAAAAGCTAAACACTCTTTTCACTTTTCACCTTTTTCATAAAGCAAAAATAATTACTAATGTAGGTCTTCTGTAAAAGGAAAGTGCATAACACCAACTTTTGAAAAGCAAAGGGTACCTGTATATCAAAACAACACAGTGGATTGTTGGGTGGACAGTGTGTGATAATGCTAGTAAATGGTAGAGTCTATGGGTACAGAGGTGTCTACTGTGAAATTCTTTCCAAGTCTCTCTGCATTTGAGATTTCTCAAAAAATATTGGGAGCAAAAGGAATGAAGAGCACATATTATTTTGTCAAGTTGGATATAAAACCTATTACATAATCTTCTGCTAGGCTTCCAGTTGTCACTAATTTTCTCTAAAAATATGGCTTATCAGACCTTTGATATGGTTAAAGTTGAAAAGTCATTATTATTATAATTGTTCCATTGCAGAGATCAGTAGCATAAATGGTGTAATACTGAAGATTAACTAAAAGGAAGTTGCAGCAGCTACAGTGGGCCTAGGGAGTCTTGGAATTGTAACGAAAATCTTCCTTCCCCACAAATTACCTCTGTGACCCATTTACATGACGGCAGAACTCCTCAAAGCTGTCAGGGAAAGGTTAGGAAAAGAATTCTTGATATACACCTGTCGAGGAGATGGCTGGCCACTGCGCCTACCCCAGCCTTTATTATTCTGATGCCTTCGAGGAACCGGGCAGTCATTTCTTCACTGAAAAAGTGCAAGTGAGTCTGAGCCTCCACTTCACCTTTCTGCACTGACAATGGCTGTGGGAGACTTCCTTCTTTTAAGCAGATAATCTAAGAGGGACTGCAGGCTAATCTTTAGTTGTCATTAATTTAGGGGCGAGTGTATCAATCTTCCTGTGAGCCAGTTCAGAGAAGAGTAGGATGGCAGGTTGATGGTTTTAGCTGATCTTTTAATGTGACATTTTCTGGCATACAGTTCTGGGTGTGTTATATAAATAAGCACAGCTTTTACAACTGGCATAATTCATAGGTTAATTAAAACACTTTATCACTTTGAATAAAATTTCTACATGAAGATTAGTTTTACAGTTATTTAATCCTTCTAAAATACTCAGCTAAAAGTTCTACCTTATTTTTGGTATTTCCTTGTAGATCTGTTTCTACATATACTAGAATATAAATAACAGAGACAAACTTCCATACATACACTTTCTAGTTACAAACTATTTTTCAGGCTTCTAAAGCACTGAGAAACAAAAACAGACAAGTGTTTTCCAAACTGAGAAAGGTTCTCAACATACGGTCTTATATAAATTAGTTTTTATCTTGATTGGTTACAGAGTTTCTGACTGCCATGTCTTTCTTTACTGTCTTGTGTTTCACGTAGTCCTGGAGATTAGGGGCTGTTTCTTTTAAACCATGTCAAGCATCACACAACACTCAAAGGCAGAGGACATATCATGTGGGCTTCCTCATCAGAGGCTCTGCTAGAGCTCCAAGGACAGCTGATCTGAATGTAAGGTCACACTTCTTAAAGCTTGCAAAGAAGAGTAAGATTTAGGTTAGCTTTTTTTTCTTAAAAGTTGTATAGATGTAATTCATATACCATATATTGTATCTACAAGATGAAGAATATGCAATTCAGTGAAATGTTTTTTATTATGTTTACAGAGTTGTGCAATCCTTACCACAATAATCAATTTTAGAACATTGCATCCAAGGAAAAAAAATCTGGACCTATAAGCAATCACTCTCCATTTTCCTCCCGACCCCTCTCTCAGCCACAGACAAGCTGCAGTCTGCTTTCTCTCCATATGATCTGCTATCTGTATAATTTTCCTATTCTGGAAATTTCATGTAAATGGTTTCAAATATGGCTTTTTGTGACTAGCTTCTTTCATTTAGCATGTTTGCAAGGTCTATCCATGTGGTAGCATTTACCAGCACTTCATTCCTTTTCATGGCTGACTAATATTCCATTGTATAAATATGCCACATTTTCTTAATCCAATCATCATGTGATGGACATTTGTGTTGCTTCCACTTTTTAGGTAATCTGAAGAATGCTTCTGTGAACATTTGTATACAGATGTTTTGTGGAAGTTTTTCATTTCTCTTGGTCATATACCTAGGAGCTTAATTGCTAGGTCATATGGTTACGCTGTTTATTCTTTTGATGACCTGCCATACTGTTTTCAAAGTGGTTGTACCATTTTACTTTCCTCCCAGCAGTGTATGAAGATCCCAATTTCTCCGCATCCTCGCCAGTACCTGTTATTATCTGTCTTACTGATATGGCCATCCTAGTGTGTGTGAGGTGGTAATCTCATTCTGTGGGTTGTCGTTTAATTTTCTTGATGGTATTTTAAACAGCACGAAGTTTTCCATTTTGATGAAGTCCAATTTATCAATTTTTTCTTCTGTTGCTTGACTTTTGATGTCACTTCTAAGAAGGCTTGTCTAGCCTGACGTCACAAAGGTTTACTCCTGTTTTCTTCAGTGTTTTATAGTTTTTCCACTGACATTTAGGTCTATGATCCATTTTGAGTTAATTTGCATGTTAAGGAAGAGATCCAACTTCAGTCTTCTGCATGTGGCTATTCAGTTGTCCCAGCACCATTTGCTGAAGTCTGTTCTTTCCACATTGAATGGTCTCAGCACCCTTGCTGAAAATCAATTTATTGTTAAGTATGTGGGTTTATTTCCAGACACCCAATCCTCTTCTATTGATCTGTGTTTCTTTTCATATACCAGTGCCACACTGTCTTGATTATTGTAGTTTTGTAGTAATTTTTGCTATCAGAAAGTGTGAGTTTTTCCAACTGTTATTCTTTTTCAAGATTGTTTTGTCTGTTAGGAATCTACTTGACAATTTTTGTAAAAAAGAATAGTAATAATCCAGTTGTGATTTTAATAGCCATTGCATTGAATCTATCAGACTTTAGCTTAGCTTTTGAGATTAGAGTCAGTGTACCTGGAAGGGCACAGGAGTGAGGGAGTAAGCCAGGCACTTCCTTCAGTATGTGTGGGGAGGGGAATGATTCAGGGACAGTGTTGCAGACTTTCATTCCTCTCACAAGGCTAAAATAAAAATGACTGGATATATAGTAAATGCAGATGGCTGAAAAATCCTGGCAAAGTTTGTATCCTTGCCAGTACCTGTTATTATCTGTCTTACTGATATGGCCATCCTAGTGTGTGTGAGGTGGTAATCTCATTCTGTGGGTTGTTGTTTAATTTATTTGTTATTAAAGATAACAAGATGTCTGGCTCCCTGCCTTCACAGTCATACCTAGGCTGTAAGTTAACTCGCAGTAAAAGGAAACATTGCCATAGCTAATCCCTTTGAACTGTTTTAGAAACTCTGTTCATAGCTAACTGTACCATGGTGGTGGAGGGAACTGTCCGCTTCAGTAAGATGGCTGGGGACTGTCCCCCACCATGTGCTTCTTTTTGATCGTCAGCGCAGTTCCTGATTATCACACTGTCCTTTTCTTCTCTTTAGGCAAGGCTTGAAATCTGTGCTTTGAGGGATACCGTGGCCGTGCACCTGACACCAGAAAGCAAGTGAGATGCTGCCGTCCCTGCTCTGAGTGCTCCATGGAAGTGAAGTATACGACAGGGCCCGGAGTCCTTGAGGCAGCCGGGCAGAACACTCTTAATTGTGATGCGACCAAGTTCATATTTGACTGATTAGTTTTTTAGTTACAAGGCATAAACCTACAATATGCCAAGGACTCCTAAGACTAGTTCTTTGTAGCATAGTAGAAAGGCAAAAAGGCTTAATATGATTTTGTGTTTTTCATTCACCGAGATAAGTCTTAGTCTCACAAGTGATGTAGAAGAGCATCACGTATTTGTTTTCACTAGGAGAAAATAAGAATTGAGACTTAATCTATGCATAGCAGAGTCTGAAGGACAGTTTAAGCGTTTGTAAATATCAGCATAAGAGAAAGCCTGTGGTTTCTCTGCAAAATTTTGTAGTGGAAATTTGGTGATAATTTTTAGCTGTTTTGAATGAAAGTCAGGATTTTCTATGATTGAAATATCAGTAGGTGAAATGAAAGAGCCCTTACTACTTGCCTATACAAAATTGTTCACTCCATCAGCAATGTTACCTAGGAAATACTGTATTTTATTATTAATGGGCCAGAGAAGCCAAGTAGTAACGCAGAGTGTTTAAGGATACTTGTGATAACATGGCTGATGCCGTCCTTCTACTGTCATCGTTACAGCTGAGAAGACTTGTTAAATTCTTAACAAATGAAATTAGCTCCTTGCTCCTATTCATGCTGGCTGACCAGAAGCCATTTCCATACAGCTCCCTTTTCCCACCATCATTTTTCTGCACAAAGTACTACTACATAATAGAAGGTAGAAAGCACCCAGTCTGTATTTGATGTGTGTGCATGCTTTGGGTCCACACCTGTGCATTTATTCCCACTCATTTAAATTTTCTTAGCCTACATTCCTCATCTATAAAAGGAAGGAGAATTAAATGAGAAAATATGTCAAGGTACCTTCTAAACTGTTGTTGCATTACGTATGATAGGTGGTATCATCATCCTCATCACCATCATGGTGTAAAAACAAATAATGGCATTACATTTCTTCTGACCGATTGAGAAGAGGTTACAAGCAACAGGATGGTGGTGGAGATAACGGCAGAGATTCCTCTCCGCATCGGGGAAGAGGAGGACCCGTTTCCTATTGGAAAGGGCATATAGGCTGTTCCTGCACCCACACTCTGCCCTGCAGGAGCAGCTGAATGCCCGGGGCCATCATCTGTAGCATCTCTAGCCACACTGGGACTTTGCAGTCTCTCTCTGATACCTGCCACTAGGTTGAGAAACACTGCGCAAAAGTATATGTCATACATTGATGAGGATGTTTTTATAAGTACAAAATGAAATAGCACTTTAAACTCAAATAAGTACATTTATATTTCTTCACTTTAGTCAACCAGTTATAAAAGAAAAGTTGAGAACAGTACATGTTATTACCAAATAATCTCCTCTAAAATGCTTTTTATTTGTTTCAGTAATTTTTCTGGAACTTTCTACTATAAGAAGTTAAACCATCTTGGTGGTTTTTAAATTCACTCCTTTCCTATTTTTCATGAAATGAAATGATGTTGAATTTATATATACATAACTCCATTATCCTACATTCTTTAAATATAATAATGGCTAAACTCTGTAAAGACCATGTTCAGTTAGTATTAAGATATTGGCTGGATCAGGCCCTGTGTCTGTCTGTACTATGTGTCCCCGTCTGAGCAGTCGTGCTCAAGGTGGCTCCTATTTCTACTCAATTTCCTTCCTTCCTTATTAGTTGCTATATCTGCAGTTCAGTTTTGTTTTGAAAAGAAAGACTTGGTTAATTAAACATGTCTACCTTAAGTTCCCATCTGTAATGAGTAGCTTCCTTTTGTAAATATCAGTTTCTCCTTTATCTTTCTAAGTTATGTTTCATTCTCTAGTTGAGTTTTTCTGGCCCTGCTCCTACAAAGCCTCCGTCTCTGGTAACTGTACCTTCACTTTTACTTTCGCTTTTTCTATTGGTTTTCACTTTTACTTTTTCTCATTTTTCCACATGCTCCACTGGCTTATATTGATTTCTTTATATTTAAGATACATTTAAGAATATCTAATGATGCTCTTAATTCCCTTTAGAAGTGTGAAATGTTGCAACTTAATGTCGCTGCTTGTGTTCCAGGTCTAGCTTTAAACAGGCTTTGGAAGCCCTGCCTCAGCTTTCGAGTGGAGCAGATAAGAAGTAAGTTTTGCACAATATTCTCAAGAGCCAGTTAGATATGCAAGGTTTTAGTACTTAAAGTACCCTTCCTAAATAATGATTTGGTCTTGAGGAAGAGTGGTACTTATAGCCCTTAATGGTACAAATAATGTTAATGTTAATTGTGCTTTTCATGTTTCCCAAGTGACAGAATAAGGTAAGACTTTCTTCTGAATTTATGACAATTTAGAAATTGGTTTTTCTTTTAAGTGACTAGTATTGGAAACATCATGAGAAAGTTTATTTTGACTTCCTTCATAAACTATGTCATTTTCTTAAATTTTTAAGACAGTAACACTTCTTAAGAAAAATGTAAAAGAGAACAGCGTAGTAAAAGGCAGAGCTGGGTTATTTTCTTCTGAGTAGCTAGGAATGTACATGTGTGCGCTATATAATATAAGGTGTTAAGAAAGAGCAGACTTGTATATATGACATAATGAAGCTGTATGTGTTTCACTAATACTATATTAATGGTCTCAGCCTCAGTTTTAAACTTTGCCACTTGTGTAACAGGAAATTCTCACCTGAGACAAAATCCAGGCCAAACAAATTTCATGAATGTCCAGCCTGCCCCCAACTGAAGCACTGGAAACATGGTAGATCTTTACTCCTTTCCCACCCGTAACTGAGGTCCCTGGGCCTTTGTGTTTGGCTGATCAGTCCGTAGACAAATACTTATGATGCTCTCACATGTGAAAACCTTGGTGTGGGCTCTGTGATGTAGCCTACGTGCGTGCTGGGAAACCCAGAGGGCAGAGAGAGTTTAAGGGGCTAGGCCAATGGGAAGTCAGCATCACCTGCAGGCCTGGACTGGGCTTGGAACAATGGGAGGCAGACAGCTCTTTGGCTTGTATGTTCCTAAACGGGCTGGTGGATGGCTCTGCAAACAGCACCCACACTTAAAACCTGTCATCTGTTTTCCTACTTCCTTCTTCTCTCTCTCTTTCAGCCTCTTTCTGAATTGGTTCCAAACCCTATTCATTTCTTTAAAATAAATTTGATAAAATATTAAAACAACCACTATTATTTTTAATATATGGCACATGGCTCAAAAGGCTTGTGCTTTTTTGGGGAGTCAACAATAACAGACACCCTCACCCCAAATAGGGACTATATTTTAGATCTGCTGAGACAGTGTACTGACATTGAGCATTTTTAGCCATGACCCCAGTACCAATACGCTTACTTCTTGGTTGCTTCATTCATCTGAGCCAGATGAATTCTAAGCCTGAAATTGTATGGATGTATCAGACCGGTTAAAGAAACCAACTGAATTATCAAGTAGGAGAATGATTTTCCCAGTGGAGTCACAACTAACTCTGATTCTTCTGGTGCTTAGTTCACACTCTAGTGCTCTCCACTCTCAGAGACTTGTTAAAGATAAACATGCGATTGAGAGGAACCTAAAATAGACCAGTCGTTGCCAGAGGATGGGGGTGAGGAGGAAGGAGCCCAGGGGCAGCCCAGCAGAACCTGGAGAGCCCTGGGACTCTTCTGAACCCTGGTCATGAGCTGCTAAGATGTGTTGTGACATTCGTAGAACCATGTGTCAAGAAGGGTGCATTGCAAGGTGTGTAAGTTTTCAGAAATTGTATTTTAAAAAGTATAGGCCCATATTAATCTGTTTTCGGGGAGAAATCTAATCTAATGGAAGAGGACAGGAAGGAAGGAGATTTTTATATACTCACCGTAGGTGTGTATATATGTTCTTTTTGACCAGCTGCTTTGATCACCTTATTTCTGTTACTGAGGTAAGAATCCATAGAAAAATAACGTTTTTAGCAGCAGAAGCCAAAGCTGGGCAGTTGGCCCCTGTTGCTGGGCAGCCTCCTCCCGTCCAGTCACGAGACATCTCTCCTCCGTGCAGGTTACTGGAAGAGCTGCTGAACAAGTTCAAGAGCAGCATGCACTTGCAGCTCACCTGTTTCCAAGCTGCTGCCTCAACTGTGATGAAGACATAAACACGTCTATAAGAAGGGCAGTCCACAGATAACAAGAAATAGCATTATTCACTCTAAGTGCCCTACAGGTATTTGTATATAAAGCACTAGGTTTGCAATCTCTCTCTTTCTTCGCACAACTGGTAACTTAGAAAGTTGTTCGTGTATGTTTCATTTCAACCAAAATGACCGTATTTGAAATGTCTAAGCAGTATTTGATTCATCATTTTTATAACATTAGGTCCTGTATGACTTTAAAACACCTTTAAAAATGTATATACATAAGTATATATACTTAGTGAAATGTTGCATGGCAGATCCTGCAGGAAGACTCGCTTTTACAAGGAGTGTTTCTGAGATGTGCGTGAGTGAATGAACTAAAGCACCTTTCAGTGTCTTTTTTACTGGACTTTTGATGTCAGCAGCTTCCAGGCCATATGGAGAGAGTGCAACTATACTTTACTTCACACAAATAGCTCTAACTCTCTCAATTAGAGTGGATTTTTAGAAAAATGTGTAGTCTGCATTAAAAAAATGCTATCTTTGGGGCAGATTATTTGTGGTCCAGATGTCCCTGGGTTACTCTGCATTTTGCCGCCTTGTTTTACGTTCACAGTGCTGGTAAGCACTAAGCACCCTTTTGGAGTGGCTTTTTTCTCTCCCCCACTCTTAATTTGATGTGTCATTTCACGTCAGTGTGTTGCCTGTTCTCGAGAACCTGTGATGAGGCTCAGCTCCCCAGTGGGTGTGGGTGGGAGCAGCCGTGGTCTGCGGGGCCTCCTCGGGAACATGCGCCCAGCGGCAGCTGCCATCCTGCTCTTCGGTAGCTTCCTTTCTCTCCACCACTCCTGCCCATGGAAGTGCCTGCTCCGCAGCTGCCAGAAGGCTGCTCTGGCCTGGCCTGAGATCTCTGACAGAGAAAGACATCCCTCCAGCAGCAGGCAGTGGAAGCTGCTGACGAGCCATGTGCCATGCGCCCCACATTCTCTGCTGACTTCATTTACCAGAACACTCAGGTCACTGACCTCTTTCAGAGTTGGCTTCCCCCGCCTAACTTCACATCATTCAGAAAAGTGACTAATTCTCTATTTATGGTCTACGTGTCAGGGTTTTCAAACTTTTCTATGGATGTTGCAGAATCTCCCTCGTTAATGCTGGAATTAATATCTTTGTTAATACAAGTTATATCTTTGTTAATACAGCATACCCGCATACAGTATCTGTTGTTTGAAATCAATGTTGTCCCATTTGTTCATTTCCTATTGGGGGGGGTGGCACCAGAGTAACTGGAAGTAAAAGTTTAATCTTTTACAAGTGTACTTGATAAAGCTTTTTAAGAAATACACAGAATATTGTCTCTCCTAAGCATGTTGACTGTTATATCTAAGATGACTATGAACTAAATTACAGAACTGCAATCCTGAATGTGTTATTTAAAATACCTAGTACAGAGCATTCAGCCAATAAAGAATGTATCTTCAGTACAACATTTAGTTGACATTTTTTCCCTATACATCTTTATTTCAATATTTTCCTTAGCTATATAACTTTTTATGTATGGTTTTAATATTCAAAATAAATACTTAAATTCCTATTGACCTTATATTTGTCTAATCATTGTCAGAAAGCATTTATCAGATGTCCTACTAATTCTCAGCTTGTTTTGGGTGCTTACCATATGCCAGGCATTGCACTCAGTTATCTCACTGAGCCCTCCCAGCAGCCTTATGACAGCCTTATGAGCTAGGTGGTGTCATGTCCGTGTCACGGATGAGGTTAGTGACTTTCAGGCTACAAGGCTGGTGAGGGCAGGATCTGTGCCACACTCATAGTGTGTGGCACTCTTTGACCTAACCACTGCCAGCCGAATATGCTTTCTGCTCTCCCTCTACCAGTCACACAGCTCAGGGAGGTCTTAAGTGGATAATAAAATTTAAGCAAAATAGGCACAGATAAGTGCTTTAATGTCTCAGAGAATGTGCAGGGTAGGCGTTTATAAAAACCCCATACCCAAATGAGGTGGTTCAAGAACTACTCTTCCAACAAGTGAAGGGGGACTTCTTGGAAGAAAGGGGGATTTCAAGAGCCACTCAAGCTACACAGAAGAAGAATTCAGTGGTTAAGAAATGGCTGAATATAATGTCAGCTAGAAGAAAGCTGAGAGTAAGCCAGAACCCAGAGCAAATCTACAAAAAGGTGGCCAAGAAGGAGAGTTAAGGCTCTCACTCCCAGGTGGCGTTTGGGTTCAGCATGTCCATATCCATGTGGCCAGCCTGGCCTCATGTCAGTTAGTAGAGCTGGCCTCACTCTCAGTACTCAACAAGCATTAGAAATAATTCGATTATACTAAGACTTTCTATATCAGTGTACCATGAAAGTGGCATGTTCTAGAAATGATTCCAGCATTGCCCTCCAAGCAGTCATTGCCATAGGCGAGCTCCCTGCGTCACTGTTCTGCCCCCCATTTTGCATGCAGTTTTCTTAAAGGGGATGGATAGAAAGATCACACTTGAGTTCCAGATCTGGTACAAGGGGGTGTGTGTACTTCTGTTTCGACCATGTGCTCTAAGATGCTCTGTTAGTTGCCTAAGACTGTTAAAATGCATTTCCTGAAAAGTTACGTCTCAACCAGCTTTTAAATCAAGATTAGGTTCCTAAAATAAGTAAGTTAACTATATTTAATTTAATATATACTTAAAATAATTATTCTTCACTGTAGACTGAAACTTGCATACATTTATATCATTAAACACTACCTAACTTATCCTGAAGGTTTTTAGATGAATTTATAAACTGCTCTGAAGACCTAAAGATATATTGAATACTTGACATACATACCTCAATTAGAACAGTAACTGTAATGATTTTAGGTTTATTTTAAATGTGGGTTACATATTTTTATCTATTCAGAGTCATCATGTTTTCTGTACTAATGTGTTCTTATTTTCTATTCACCCACATTTTTTATTTAGTTTTATTATATGTATCACTGGAAGGTCTTTAGTACCTGGTCAGGTTATAAATACATAATGATAAATATTTTATGAACAGGATCTGGGCCTTTGGGTTACTTGTCTGTAATTTGGCTAATGAAAGCCAGTAGGATGTCAAATTCCTTTCACCCGTCTAGACCCCTAAACCCTTAGACATGGATAGCACTGGAGATTGTCACACTATCTGCCCAGTGTTGTAACCACAACTGGTACCCTGCCCAGTTGTGTTGCTGTGATCATTGTTCAGCTGTTGTGGTTGTTACTGTTATTTCTATCCCATTTTTCTTGAATATTTCTGCCCCACCTGCCTACAAACCCTTTAGCTGGGTACGAATACCTGAGAACCAAGACCAGTACCTGAGCTCTGATTTCCAGAGGAGGCCCACAGAGAGACTGACCACAGGAGGAGGAGAGCCCGGAAGGAGTGGGGTCAGAGGGTCATGAAACCAAGGGAAGAACAAGGATCACAGTCAGAATAAAGAAATTGCTGGCAAGGTCAGATGTTGCAGACATGTCCAAAGGATTATACTGAGAAATGATTGCTGTCCTTGGCATTTAGAAAATCAGAAATGACCAGAGAGTGATGAGGAAGAAACTAGAGAAACTTTATACTTTGGACTAATTCTCTTAACTCACTGGCATTGCTGTCATGAGTGGCGCCTTGAAAGTCACAAAGGATTGGGCCTCAGCAAAGAAGTGAGACTCCTAAGGCTTCGTCAATAGGGCTTCTCCCCAGCTTCCTTTTCTCCCTAAATTCTCTTCCTGGGTATCTTCTGATCAGTTCCTGCTGCCCCTGCTTCTTTGTCCACTGGGATAACTTACACATATTTATGCCCATACTCTCTTTTCTCCAGCCTTCCCTTTCAAATGCTAAATGACAGGCGGCTGGGGCCACACGTGGCCACATATCCGATATCAGCCGGCCACTCGTCCCTGTGCCCCGCTCTCAGCTGTCCTTCCCTGGACCTGTGGGAAGGAGCTCCATTGCTGCACCCAGTAGCCATCAGCTGCCTGTGTGGAGCAGTGAGTTTGCTGAATGTGTCAGATAACCTTTCTGTACTTTTTAGTAAGTGCATAGCTTACAGGTTCAAGTGACCCCACAGAGCCGGTGGTGAGAACTAACAGCTCCTCCAGACCCCACCTTTGCCTTCTCCCTGAGGCTGTCCACCTTCACTCCCCTAAGCTGGTCTGATGTTTTGGGTGTTTACCTTGATGTCTCTGGCTAACCTGCTGCACTTTAATTCTTGGCAGAAGAGGAAAACCTAGCTTCTTCCATGCCCTGCACATGCACACATCCTTCCCTTTTCTCCCAAAGGGTCTATTTTTGTTAGATCATCATTCAGTGTTGAAGGGTTATGCCCATGTAAATGCTGCTTGTTGCTGAGCCAGTACTATGCTAAGATTCTTTTCCTATTGTACTTTTTGTATTTTCTATGTATTCTATGTAGTTTCCACTCATCCCAAAACTCCCTCCATCAGATTATGCAAATGTCCTTGCACTAAATTTAGACACATAGCTATTCAAGTTTATCTTCTTGAACAATCTCTTAACAGCTTCTCAGCCTCCTTGAGTCTGGACTTGGTACGCTGTAGGTCAGCCTCACCTGCCGTCCTGGGTGTCCCACATAATTGTTTCCTAGAGTTTCCCTCTGCCTCTCTGCCCTGTTGGGTCAGGTACTTCTATACACCATGTCATCCTCTTTCTTGGTTTGCCCTCACTTGATAGAATTCAACCTCTGGTAACTCCCTGAGAAAAGAGTATATGGGAAGTAAATGTTTTGAGACCTTGAATATAGAACAGAAATCTTGATAGCTTGGCTGGATATAGAATTCTAGATTGGAAATACTTTTTCCTCAGAATTGTTAGGCCTGTGCACTGATGTTCCCTTTGTCTGTCAGCCTATCTGTGTCCCTCTGCTTGTACAGTCGGCTTTTACCAGTTTTTCAAAAGTTCATAATGTTCTGGGTGTGATGCCCTTTTATACTTTGTGGTGAGTCTAATGTCTTTAGATTCTGGGAGTTTTCCCTCAATAATTTATTTGAATCCCATAGCCCTGTTTTTTTTTTCAATCTTTAATATTAGGATCTTCTATCCTGGTCCTATGTTAAATTTTTAAAATATTTTTCCTCTTGTTTTCTATCTTTATTCTACTTCTGAGAAACTTATATTTATTGTCCAACCTTTCGGTTAAGTTTTACATTTCTGCTATGTTGTTTTTAATTTATAAGAAGTTTCTTGTTTTCTGAATATCCTTTTCTGTGGAGTTCTGTTTATTTCTTAGTCCCTGAGATTAATAATGTCTTTTTTAGAAGCTTTTATTTTTCTTTTTGCACAGTCTCCAATCTGCTTTATTCTTCTCCTTTACATATTAGAATAAATGTCATAAGCTTTCTTCAAATTTCTAACAAGCTTTGGATATCAATTCATATTTAGCAGGAGAGCCCTAAAAACTGAGGAGGCTTGTAAGCTCTCCATGCAGGATGGGGCTTACCGACTGTGTGCTTCAGTTAGGGTAGTATGAACGGTGTTTTCATTAGGGAACCACGGATATTATTATATTTAGGTTATTTTTCTGGGACTGCTCAGATTTTCTAGAGATGGTCCCTCCAATCTCCCATCATGAGAATATAATCTGCTTTCAGCAGATTCTGAAAGGCAAGAAAGAGGTCATGGAGGTCATTTTTGTCCTTGTATATGGGATCCCACCACCTTGTGCATGACCCTCTCCAGAGAATCAAGTTCTTGTCTTCTGCTGGAGTGGGCAGGCAGGAGGAGACCTGGGGACATCTAGCTATTTCTTAAGTGGATTTTAAACTGACCATTTAGTTTTAACCCCATTTTACCCCACTTCCAGAAATTCCTATGCCACATATTTGCATTTTTGTTTTTCATACTGCCAATTTAGGATTTGACTTCTTTAGATCTGCTTAATCAGTTTCCACTCACCCATATACTTGGCTGCTTTCAAATTCTTCTAGCTAGTATTTCCTCTCCTATTCTCTTTTTCTTTGTGTATTTATGCCTTTTATATGTATTTACTGTATTATGAACTACCTATAGTTATGTATATACTACAGTAATATATGCAGTATATGTACTGTACGAGTGTGTGTGTATATATATATATATACATATATATATATATACACACACACAGTATAGCTATGCTACACATTTACATATACATATAAACTGTACTGTCATTTTTGTAGGACTTGGGTTAGAGCTAAGGTTAATGTGTGGTTTCAAGCTGCCCTCTCTATTCAGATTAACTTTGTTTTATTTGATCATAGTACCAAACTGTTTATATGTACATGGTCTTCAGATTTGTTGCTTATAAAACATTATTGTTTACTGCAACTTTTAAAATTTGAAAGGAGCTTTAGTAGAGAGAAGCCCTTCCATTCCTCCTGCTAACGTTACCAAATAGGCCTAGCATGCAAAGACTATCTTTTATTCCATACTTAGTAACAAGTCACCACTGAAGTATTCTTGCCAAAAGCCAAACTCAAATGTGTGTATCTGCTTAATTTATAGGAAGAAATGGGATAGAAGACATACCAGTGGACAGTCAGCAGAATCAATATTGCAGGAAACTGTAAAACAAAC